CTAGTGCAGATGCAGCTAAGTACGGGTTGATCCTAGATTCTCACATCAAATATTTAATTTGCTTTGTGGCGCTATGAATTGGGGTTCGAATTCCTAGGAGCATCCTTCATTAAAAAAATATCACATTACTAAAAATCGTACAATACAGAACATGGGTGGAACAAGAATGGTTGAAGGGTTGACATCAAAGACCGTTTTCTATAACAATAACAAGTTTATTAACAAAGAGACTAAACTACTACAACATCGAGTTTACGTTACGTTAATATCCATCCAGTGGCACTTTAACAACAGCTTCTTAAAAACCATGAAGCAACGACTCCTGTCAATTGCCATGAGGCTGAATACTGAACTAACCTGAACACAGGTGTGCCCACTGATGACACAGTATTACAAGCAAATAATTCATCAAGACTAAGTTTACACAACAGTGAGCGTTACGTTACGTTACTGTTCATCTAGTGGCACATTGTAGGACAGCAATTCAATAGCCTATCGAGAAATAACAACAGTCTCCATCTTGTTGTCACTTTGGGCAGACTAAATGAACTAATTGTACAATGGTGTGCCCACTGATGACAAGAGATTGCCATAAGGAAACCCCTGCAGTACTCTGCAATACAGTAACTATTCAATCAACATCAAGGCAGGTTATAAGACAAGTCTCCTTTCCTCCTTTTCGGTCAAGTCAACACTCTTTTGCAACTCCCTGCAATGAAGTTGCAAATGTAAACAAGGTTAGGAATTATGAGACCCTGGGACACTTCTCTGGTAATCCCCAAGTTATTTTAACTTGGGGATTAATCAATCAAATTGCCTTAATCAATTACTAAATTGATTATGTGATTAATTACGTTAATTGACTCTCATCAGCAGTCAGCAACAAAGTACTCTACATTAATCACAAACACATGTCTCCCTCACACAACAAAACAACAATAGTACTCTACATTAATCACAAACACTTGTCCAGCACAGACAAGTCAAACTGTTAAACAGTAACTCTTTATATCTTAAATTACATCACACTTAACACCATCAAGCATTCAGTGGGTAATTCCTAATTACTGTCATATTGACAACTAATTAAATCCCTATCGAGCTGCGTTAACTAAGCTTACAACTCTGTTGGTAGCTTCTCTACAGTCTATGTCAAGTTTTACTTTAATGAGTGATAATTACCTTAATTAACCCAGAGCAATTAATTAATAGTCACCTGGACCAATAACTAGTTATACACAAATACGTCTCACTCCACACTGCCTAAGCAGGTCCCATCAAACACTGAGAATTCACGGACGAGGTGTTAATTACCCTAATTAACGTTGGTGTTAAATCATCTGCCCCCTCACAGACAGATAGGATTAATCCAACAGGTTATGCTAGCCCAATGACTTCGCCCTACAACAGTCAATCATTCTAATATTAATCACTCCACTAATTAACTTGAGCCCCTAATTATCCGTCCCACAGACAGGTAATTAGTCAAGAGCAAATTACGTTAACACAAATACAGTCAACTATGACAGTCCCTCACCACTATGTGAATTCACGATAAAAATGCTAATTACACAATAAACTAGAGTGAGCAATTTGTTGTCACACGGACAATTAATTGCACCTGTAACGCATCTCAATAAGCTCAACACTGTCTACCTTAGCAGCTCCCTCATTAAGTAATGTGCAAACCGCTTATGAATTAATTAACCCCCTAATTAACTCACTGAATTCTTCAATCGTCAACACAATTAAAGAAAACACAAAGTAACCTCAGGTTACATAGGTCACACTCTCGGTGACATAACAAAATAAATGTCACGGCCCCATACGCTTGCAACCCACTGCAACACGTTAATAACTGTGAACACCCACAGTAATGACACACACGGTTTGGCAACGATACAAATGAATACTCCTGCATCACTGCCCCATACTTCTGCAACACCCTGCAAAGAATTACTGTGTGGAATCACTTGAATGCTAGTTAACCTATTTAGCTTGAGTAAGTAATTAACTATCCCAGGGACAGATAATTACTTCAGCAATGAACATACGTTAACTCAAAACATCGTCACTCCACCGACAGCTGGCACTAATTGACCCTAATTAGCCAGAGTAACTAATCAATTCCTTGCTCCCTCATTAAACACTGTGAATCCTCTGATTAGTTAAAAATAAATAACTCTAAAAACCTAATTTTGCTATTAAGATTTCCATCAGGCACTCACAGCTCCCAGGCCAGAAATATAAATATATACATACACACTGAACACTGCCCAAACACACACACACAACATAGATGTAATTTACATACCCCATATGCTAATGACATCACAGCACATTACACATGATTTTACACAACACATGTATTACACGACACATGATTTTTAATTATCACACTAGGTGTACCATTTCCATGAATGTATCATTACAGGTCCAATAATTTGTCAGATCAAGGTCATGGGTGGTCAGTTGACACCCTGGCGCCTGTAATTACTGTGCCATGTCTCGTGTGGGGGGAGTCAGTAATTGTGATTACTGACTCCCCCAGGGTGTCAGACCTCAGGGTGTCGCTTGACCAACCCTATATTACCTTGATCTGCACCTGCTTTCCTCTGAAATGATATACATTCATGGCAACATGACAAAATCTTGACTCTGAACGATATACATTGAACGTCAGATCAAAATAACATTTATATGGAAAATCCCCACACTGACTGGTTTACATAACCGAGCCATTTAACTCACAATCTGTATTACATATACACCTACTTGTGTTACTGTGTATAACATACACATTCACGTCCTTTACAGACAACCTGTGCCCTCCGACAGCTGCTAATTTACGTCAATACAGGTGTGCCTCTCCAACTGGCTTCCCTCACTTAGCAAGGTGTTTGGGACAACCATAGCTGGTATCTGATTTAACATCAGCACTGAGACAACTGCACCAATACATTAATTTGAGTACTCACGTTACCGGCCTCCTCATTTACACTCGTCCACTGTCACACTCTACTGGCTGAAGCACTGAAGCTGAAGAGCGGCGCGGAGCAGGCTTGTAAAATTAATGTATATATCATTTATATTGTATTTTACTAAATAAAGATAAAAAAAAGTGTGAAAGACTCGTGAACGCGCGTGCACACACACACACACACACACAATGAGCCACAGAGATATTAGAAAAAACTTTTTTAGTGTCAGAGTGGTTGACAAATGAAATGGAAGTGATGTGGTGGAGGCTGACTCCATACACAGTTTCAAGTGTAGATATGATAGAGCCCAATAGGCTCAGGAACCTGTACACCTGTTGATGGACGGTTGAGAGGCGGGACTAAAGAGCCAGAGCTCAACCCCCGCAAGCACAATTAGGGGAGTACACACGCTACGAGCATGTGGTACTCGTACACAGGGCGTACTGGTGTGTACGAAATGGCGACGCGGGTGAGGTACAATTCAATGTCCCAACACGGACTCGTAATTTGACTAAAATTACACTCTAGGACTTCCTCCAAACACTTGGAAGCCTTACCCGATTCCACCTCTTGCCAGTTATCTTGGTCAATACAACAGATGACCACAGATGTTAGCAATAACTTCTGATCACAACGAGGCTGTCTCCCCGCCTCGGCTAAACACGTGTTGACTGAGAGTTCTCATCAATTTCTTAATAACTCCCACGATCACGCAAATTGGATCCAGGCATGATCCACGATAGCGGGGTCACCGTAGGGATAAGGAAATGGATGATGACACGGCGATAACGGTGGTGGGGGTGGCAGACAGGTCACCCCCACCAGGGCTCAGACAACGCCGATCCTAGACTGAATTTTGACGGACTAAGGAACCCCAAGACGTTGGTCTCCCCCACCTTGTCTTGTCCAATCAGAGCGAAGCCGGCAGGCCTTCGAGATGCCGCTTCCAATCACAGGAGTTCGCGCCTAAGTGCCTACAAGATGCTGAGGTGCCTCGCCCAATCAGGGACGCCCTTGGCTCACGTCGTCACAGGGCGGGGAGGCCTGGGATGACGACATCCCCTAGTGTGGAGGAGGCGGCGAGTACCCTTTCCCCCCCCCCCCCTCTCAAATCCCTGTACACATTTTCTAAGTAAAATGTTTTAAATGCTGTATTTCCTCTCACAGAGCAGTTATAAACTCCATCATAGCCTTAATAAATAGCCCTAAGCTTGGGCTTTGTTCAGACTCCCCACAAGGGCTTGTAGTGTGTGAATTTCTCTAGCACACTGGAGTGCACCATACACTCAAGCCTAGTCTAGAGGTAATTCCATTCCCTCATATAAGGTGTTATTACACTACAGCTGACACTGAACGTTGATGTTGGGTGTTATTACACTACAGCTGACACTGAACGTTGATGTTGGGTGTTATTACACTACAGTTGACACTGAACGTTGATGTTGGGTGTTATTACACTACAGCTGACACTGAACGTTGATGTTGGGTGTTATTACACTACAGCTGACACTGAACGTTGATGTTGGGTGTTATTACACTACAGCTGACACTGAACGTTGATGTTGGGTGTTATTACACTACAGCTGACACTGAACGTTGATGTTGGGTGTTATTACACTACAGCTGACACTGAACGTTGATGTTGGGTGTTATTACACTACAGCTGACACTGAACGTTGATGTTGGGTGTTATTACACTACAGCTGACACTGAACGTTGATGTTGGGTGTTATTACACTACAGCTGACACTGAACGTTGATGTTGGGTGTTATTACACTACAGTTGACACTGAACGTTGATGTTGGGTGTTATTACACTACAGCTGACACTGAACGTTGATGTTGGGTGTTATTACACTACAGCTGACAGTTAACGTGTCCCATTACAACCGTCTCGAACATTGTCATAAACTTGTTCAAGAAAATGGTGAAGAACATGTTCAAGAACATGGACACGATCATGTTCAAGAACATGGACACAATCATGGCCAAGAACATGGACTAAGCATAGTAACGAACATGCTCACCAAAATAGTCAAGAAGATGGTCAACAACATGGTCGAAAATGATCAAGAAGATAGTGAAAAAACATTGTCACGAAGGCCACCACGTCAAGTACTAACTTCTATAATGTTAATCCGACGGCATTTCCTTATAATTAAGAATTTCAAATGAATCCTAATGTGATGTAAACCTTAATGTGATAGCAACTGCAGAGACTAAACTAACAAACGCAATTTTGTTAATAAACAGAATTATAAAGCTTTATAAGAAGAACACTTAGAGCAATTCTTACTCAAGCCGTGTGCTTCTAAGCCGCACTCAGCCCCAGCGCGGCAATCATCATTGTTACTGTGCTTCCTTAATCGGTATGTTTAGAATAATAAACAGATGTTATATGTTAGTTAAGTGTGCGTAAGACGTGTAATTTTTGGCGTAGAGACAAGGCTTTTAAGGCAGCGTTGGCTGTACGTCTCCATTTATGGCAGCATTGGCTGTACGTCTCCGTTTATGGCAGCGTTAGTTGTGGGTCTCCGTTTATGGCAGCGTTGGGTGTGCGTCTCCGTTTATGGCAGCGTTAGTTGTGGGTCTCCGTTTATGGCAGCGTTAGTTGTGGGTCTCCGTTTATGGCAGCGTTAGTTGTGGGTCTCCGTTTATGGCAGCGTTGGGTGTGCGTCTCCGTTTATGGCAGCGTTAGTTGTGGGTCTCCGTTTATGGCAGCGTTGGGTGTGCGTCTCCGTTTATGGCAGCGTTAGTTGTGGGTCTCCGTTTATGGCAGCGTTGGGTGTGCGTCTCTGTTTATGGCAGCGTTGGGTGTGCGTCTCTGTTTATGGCAGCGTTGGGTGTGCGTCTCCGTTTATGGCAGCGTTAGTTGTGGGTCTCCGTTTATGGCAGCGTTGGGTGTGCGTCTCTGTTTATGGCAGCGTTGGGTGTGCGTCTCTGTTTATGGCAGCGTTGGGTGTGCGTCTCTGTTTATGGCAGCGTTGGGTGTGCGTCTCTGTTTATGGCAGCGTTGGGTGTGCGTCTCTGTTTATGGCAGCGTTGGGTGTGCGTCTCTGTTTATGGCAGCGTTGGGTGTGCGTCTCTGTTTATGGCAGCGTTGGGTGTGCGTCTCCGTTTATGGCAGCGTTGGCTGAGCGTCTCTGTTTATGGCAACGTTGGCTCTACGGCTCCGTTTATGGCAGCGTTGACTCTACGGCTCTGCTTGTACTCACCTAGTTGTGTTTGCGGGGGTTGAGCTCTGGCTCTTTGGTCCCGAGCCATCTTTGTGTTCGGAGACGGATACATGTTTCTGTACGTCGTAGTCTGTGCGGCCCATCACCTTCTACAAGAAAGAGTTTTTGTTAAAAATAATTACCTGTTTCGTCGTTTATTTTCTCCAGTGAAGACGATGCCTGGAAATTGAGTAATTCTTAAACAGTAATCAAACAACAGTAGTCATCATGAAACGGTAGACAAACGGCTGGAGACACCATGAAACAGTAGGCAAACGTCAGGAGACACCATGAAACAGTAGGCAAACAGCAGTAGACATCATAAAACAGTAGATAAACAGCAGGAGACACCATGAAACAGTAGACAAACGGCTGGAGACACCATGAAACAGTAGGCTAACAACAGGAGACGCCATGAAACGGAATTCTGTTCTCTAAATGTTTCAACATTTATCTCTACTTAGTTAAATGTTAGCTTTACGCTTTAACTTATGCAGTATGATTTACTGCATAAGTTGTAGAGGAGTAGACATAGGGACCATAGAGCTCAGGTAATGGTTTAGGGTTGTATAGAGTAGAGGACGGAGGGAAGAAGGGTGTAAAGAAGGGAGGGAGGATTATAGGGAGGGTAAGAGGAGAAGGGAGGCAGGGAAGGAATCTAACACTAAGTGTGTAGTTGTCAACAGCCATTTAGAAAATGTTTGTGTGTAAAGACAGTTACAGCGGCCAGACGCTCGTCATAGGTCTCATTCACTCGTAATTCCTTCCTCTTGCCAACACATTTCCAGACAGTGAGACAGACAGACAAACAGACAAACAGACAAACAGACAGACAAACAGACAAACAGACAGACAGACAGACAGACAGACAGACAGTCAGACAGACAGACAGACAGACAGACAGACAGACAGACAGACAGACAGACAGACAGACAGACAGACACACACACACACACACACACACACACACACACACACACACACACACACACACACACACACACACACACAAGTTGACAGACATGTGGACTGGAGGAACGTTAGCCAGAGGCAGACACATTCAGACAGACAGATGTGAAGAGGGGAGAAAGACAGACAGACAGACAGACAGCTAGACAGACAGATGGGAAGAGGGGAGACAGACAGACAGACAGCAGGTAAAGTGGGATTACTGACACACAATATATACATTTTTTGCTAAATGAGCTATTATCCCTGAATTGTTTTTCATGGAGGAAAAAACACCAATTTCTGCCTGGATACCAGCCTAACACTCCCCCGTTTCTTCCGGAATATTTGCCTAACATTCTTCCCATTTCCTCTGGGATATTTGCCTAACATTCTCCCCATTTCCTCAGGGATACTTGCCTAACATTCCTCCTCATTTCTTTCTAGACACTTGCCTAAACCCCCCCCCCCCATTTCTTCCGGAATACTTGCCTAACCCCCCCCCCCATTTCCTCTGGGATACTTGCCTAACACTTTTTCCTATTTCTTTGTAATATTTGCCTAACACTCCCCTATTTTTTTACGGAATTCTTGCCTAATACTCTCCCCATCTCTTCCGGGATACTTGCCTTACACTCCCTCCATTTCCTCCGGGATACTTGCCTAACACTCTTCCCATTTGTTTCGTGATACCTGCCTAACACTTCCCCATTTATTCCGTGATACTTGCCTAACACTTACCCCATCTCTTATTCTTCCTATGACCTTTATTGTCACTACATATAATAATAATAAAACAATGTGGACACTGGCTTCATTTAGCATTTATTTATCAATGTATGCAATTGTAACACGGGGTGGGGGGGGGGGGGGGGTATCGACTCTCTACTCCACCCTTTACCCCTTAACTCTTCCCGTATTCTGATTTATTTCTATTCAATCCAAGGGACCCCAGAACTACTACTCTAAGCCGAATCCCACGCCACGTGGTCTTAAGCCGTTTGACCGGCTAAGATTCTACAGCCTCACGACGTGGAACTAGACCTCTAGCAACTCTAGAATCTCCTTACACCGCCACCACCAGACCATTAACACTGGGAGCAATAACCGGGGCCTGGACCGATTATGCTCTCAAAGAACCTTGGGGCTTAATCCCCAGTTATTTGGAATAGGAGGGAAGAATCTACGTTAAGTGTGGTAATTTATAGCAAACAAAAGGGATAGCTGAACTCTTACGCTTTATTAGGTTTTGCGGCCCAACAAAAACTCAGTACGTGGGGATCACGTGATAAGGACACGAGACAATGGAACCATGAAATGGAAATAATAAATTGCAAATTACTAACTAAATAATTTATTTAAAATCTAAAACAAAATCTAAATCAAAGTACTCCTTATACTTAACACTCCCTGACTTAAGGTATGAGATGAACTAATTTCATATACAAAACTATAGCAGACTCTACCTTTGACGGCGACCAGCTGATGTAGTGCTGGTCTCGGTGATAGGTGGATCACCTTCCCGAGTCGTTGACCAGTCCACACTGTATTCTGCCTCCCTCTCTCAACACAGAAGCCCGAGGGGGTATTCCTACGCCTGGCTTACCAAGTTACTAGCAGGGTTTAAGGTGAACAACTAATCTCTGTTGCCCTGAACAGCCCAGATGGTTGAACTCTTTTAAACTGCAGGTAATTGTACTCACCTAATTGTACTCACCTAATTGTGCTTGCGGGGGTTGAGCTTTGGCTCTTTGGTCCCGCCTCTCAACTGTCAATCAACTGGTGTACAGATTCCTGAGCCTACTGGGCTCTATCATACCTACATTTGAAACTGTGTATGGAGTCAGCCTCCACCACATCACTTCCTAGTGCATTCCATTTATTAACTACTCTGACACTGAAAAAATTCTTTCTAACGTCTCTGTGGCTCATCTGGGTACTAAGTTTCCACCTGTGTCCCCTTGTTCGTGTCCCACCCGTGCTGAAGAGTTTGTCTTTGTCCACCCTGTCAATTCCCCTGAGAATTTTGTAGGTGGTTATCATGTCTCCCCTTACTCTTCTGTTTTCCAGGGATGTGAGGTTCAGCTCCTTTAGCCTTTCCTCGTAGCTCAATCCTCTCAGTTCCGGGACGAGCCTGGTGGCATACCGCTGAATCTTCTCTAACTTTGTCTTGTGTTTAACTAGGTATGGACTCCAGGCTGGAGCTGCATACTCCAGGATTGGTCTTACATAAGTGGTATACAGGGTTCTGAAAGATTCCTTACACAAGTTTCTGAAGGCAGTTCTTATGTTGGCCAGTCTAGCATATGCCGCTGATGATATTCTTTTGATGTGGGCCTCTGGGGACAGGTTCGGTGTGATATCAACCCCCAGATCCTTCTCTCTATTTGATTCTTGCAGGATTTCCCCTCCCAGATGATACCTTGTGTTCAGCCTCCTGCTCCCTTCGCCTAATTTCATCACCTTACACTTTCCAGAGTTGAACTTCAGCAGCCATTTTCTAGACCATTCCTCCAGTTTATCCAGGTCATCCTGTAGTCTCTGTCTATCTTCATCCGTCTTGATTCTTCTCATAATTTTTGCATCATCAGCAAACATCGAGAGGAATGAGTCTATACCCTCTGGAAGATCGTTCACATATATTAGAAACAGGATGGGTCCAAGTACTGAGCCCTGTGGGACTCCGCTGGTGACATCTCGCCACTCTGATGTCTTCCCCCTCACCGTTACTCGCTGTTTCCTGTTGCTTAAGTACTCCCTTATCCACTGGAGCACCTTCCCTTTTACTCCTGCCTGTTGCTCCAACTTTTTTAACAGCCTTTTATGGGGTACTGTGTCGAAGGCTTTTTGGCAATCCAGGAAAATGCAGTCGGCCCACCCTTCTCTTTCCTGCCTAATTTTCGTTGCCTGGTCATAAAATTCTATTAACCCTGTGAGGCACGATTTACCATCTCTGAACCCATGTTGGTGGTGCGTTACAAAGTTATTTCCCTCCAGATGCTCTACGAGCCTTTTCCTCACGATCTTCTCCAGCACCTTGCATGGTATACAAGTTAAGGAAACTGGCCTGTAATTCAGTGCCTCTTGCCTGTCACCCTTTTTGTATATTGGGACCACGTTAGCTGTCTTCCAACTTTCTGGTAAGTCTCCTGTTTCCAGTGACCTGTTATACACCATAGAGAGTGGCACACTTAGTGCTTCTGCACCTTCCTTTAGTATCCATGGTGAGATTCTATCAGGCCCAACAGCCTTTGTCACATCTAGCTCCAGCAGACACCTTTTGACCTCATCACTAGTGAGGTCAAATTCCTCCAAGGTTTCCAAGGTTGCCGCCTCCTCATTTAGTGCAGGGGCTTCTCCTTGTTCTATTGTGAAGACCTCCTGGAATCTCTTGTTGAGTTCTTCACACACCTCCTTGTCATTCTCTGTGTATCTGTTCTCCCCTTTCCGCAGCTTCATCACTTGTTCCTTCACTGCTGTTTTCCTCCTGATATGGCTGTGGAGCAGCTTTGGTTGGGTCTTGGCTTTACTCGCGATGTCATTTTCAAACTGTCTCTCTGCTTCCCTCCTCACTCTGATGTACTCATTTCTGGCCCTCTGGTACCTCTCCCTGCTCTCTGGTGTTCTGTTATTTCTGTAGTTTCTCCATGTTCTTTTACTCAGTTGTTTCGCTACCTTACATTCCTGGTTGAACCATGGGTTTTTCTGTTGTTTTTCGTTTTTCTCCTTTTGGACGGGGATAAACCTGTCTGCAGCTTCCTGGCACTTTTGGGTGACAATATCCATCATGACCTGCACATTCTTGTCTCTAAGTTCTGTTTCCCATGGTATTCCCATTAGGAAGTTCCTCATCTCGTCATATTTTCCTCTTCGGTAATTCAGTCTTTTCCCCTCCACTCCCATCCTTGGATAGGTTATCCCTACCTCCACCAAGTACTCAAAGGTCAGTACACTGTGGTCACTCATTCCTATGGGGGCTTCAACTTTGACTTCCCTTATTTCTGACTCATTTAGGGTGAATATTAAGTCGAGTCTAGCTGGTTCGTCATTGCCTCTCATTCTTGTGGGTTCCTTGACATGCTGGCTCAGAAAATTCCTTGTTGCCACTTCCAAGAGTTTAGCTCGCCACGTATCTGCACCACCATGTGGGTCCCCATTCTCCCAGTCTATCTTTCCATGGTTGAAATCACCCATGATTAAGAGTCTTGAGCCATTCCTGCAGGCAACTGAAGCTGCTCTCTCTATTATATTAATGGTTGCCATGTTGTTCCTATCAAACTCTTGTCTAGGTCTTCTGTCATTTAGGGGAGGGTTGTAAATGACTGTCACTATTATCTTAGGTCCACCCATTGTTATAGTTCCTGTTATGTAATCTCTGAATCCGTCACAGCCCGGAATTTCCATCTCATCAAAACTCCAGTCCTTCCTTATCAGCAGGGCCACTCCTCCACCTCCTCTCCCTTCCCTCTCTTTCCTTACTATATAGTAGTCCTTTGGAAACACAGCATCTGTTATGACTCCTGACAATTTTGTTTCTGTTAGTCCTATTACATCAGGGTTTTCTTCTTGCACCCTTTCTGCCAGTTCACTTGCTTTATTGGTAATCCCATCAATGTTTGAGTACATTACCTTGAAGCTCACTTTCTTATATCCAATTTCACCCACACTCCCTACAAGTGTAGGAGGTTGTTCTATGGTCCTTGCTACTTGGGTAGGCTCCTCCTCCTGTGAGGTAGTTGCCAGGGGTTCAGGGGGAGGTGGGGTGGGGGGTGGAAGGCTTAGGTCTTCCTCAGGCCTGCTTGGGTCAGGAAGAAGTCCTGGGGGTGAGGGAGCAGGGATTGCTTGGGGAGAGGGCACGCCCTCCTGCGGTGTAGTTGACAGGGGTTTGGAGGGAGGTGGAGTGGGGGATAGAGGGCTTTGGTCTTGCTCAGGCCTGCTTGGGGCAGGGAGAAGACCAGGGGTTGGGAAAGCAGGGGCTACTTGGGGTAAGGGGAGGGGGAGGATTTGGGTTTCATGATGGGCATTATGCAGGGGCAAGGAAGGGTTTGTGCTGGGGGGTAGAGAGGGCCCTATTGGGTGGTGGACTGGGGTGTTGCATTCTCCCCTGGGGTTCCTGGGTTGCTGGATTGGGGTTCCCCACTCCCCTCTGGGATTGCTGGGTTGGAGGCTGAGGTTCCCTGGCTCTCTTCCCTCTCCTTGCGCCTTTTCCTTGCATCTGCTGCCCTTACTATCTCGTCTCTGGTCATGTCCCTCTGAACATATACCTCTTTGTAGTTCCTTGCATGCCTCAGTTTGTTCTTCCTTACTAGAATGTCCTCTTTGATGTCCTCGCTCTTGAATACTACCTTGATCAATCTTTTTTTGTCTCTGTTGTACTGGCCAATCCGGAAAAACTGTTCTACAGGCATTGTACAGGCATCTTAGAGAAGAGCTATTTCCGATTACAAAATGGCTATTTGACCTTTGAGAATTACCAAAAATATGGAAGGCTTTGGTGATCCCTGATCACCAAAGCCTTTGGTCGCCCAAATCGCTCTGTGTCCAGGGCTAGTCCCGGCTAGTGACGTTACTGATGGTGACTTACTAAAGTATTCTGACAATTTAGGATACTCTTGATAATTTAAACAGGAATACTATTGAATATGTATGAAAACAATATGAATGACGACTAATTTTTCTAAATTACTGAATTCTTTAAAATAATTCATTATACGTTGCTTTAAGACAAAGGTGGTGGCCATTTTGTATCTCAACCGCCTGTCCCAGGGTAGATGCCCCGTACTTGGGTCAGGTCAAACTACAACTTGACTCTAACTTTTGTTCAAAGGCGTAACCCACTGCCTCCCATATAATTACTTATTTTAAAACAGCTTCAGTTGTTACACAATGTCAGTTTCGTTATTGCTTTGTTGATCAATTTTTAATTTCAATGTTTCTTATCTGATATTTTGCATCATGAAGGCGCTGTCTACCAATTCAACGAGGTTAACTCTCCATGTGTGATCTTCCTCTTTCAAATCCCTTGTTTTCTGTCTAATTTTACCATGATATATGTCTTCTCTTGCTAGCAGGTGAGCTGTCAATATGTGTAATATTTCTACCAATCTTTGGAAGATATTCATGCATACATGTCAACAATTGTTCATCCCGCACTTGTTCATTGGCTTCCTTCAAAAATCTTTTCAAACGTCCAGTTTCTTAAACGAGGCATGCCATATTTTCTTCCCTCTCTATTTTTCCTTTTTTCATTGACTGATATATTTCAGTCACCCCTTGGATATATTTCAGTGGTGAGCACGTTTGTTAGTTTAGTCTCGGCAGTTGATATCACATTAGTGTTTACGTCACATTCGGATTAATTTGAAAGTCTATCAGCAATAGCTTACCTGATTTTCAGACTCTTCAGTGTTGCTCATTCCCTCTAATGGTAATCTTATAGTTTATGGATGAGCTAGAGGGTTGGGCTCGCGTGAATGGGTAGGCAATGTGTGTTTCGTAAATATAATTAATACTCCATTTCTCTGTTATCCAGTCCAGGATGGTTACACTGAACAGTTATATAGCAGCAGTGATTGTAATGGGGGTCAGCAGTGCACTTACAGTCAGTGAAAAATTGGAGGAACCTAAAGAGAAGGTTGTCATGATGGTGGATCAGGCGATGAGCCAGGTGGGCGAGATGGTGAGTCAGGTGGTGGATCATCATCTCATCGACTGTCACCTGGTGCTCATATCCACTACACGACATTCATACGTCGCGTCCAATATCCACAGGTGAATTACTTCCTCTTCCTCTTGAATTTCTAACTTGTGTATTTCTCCCGTCCATATGTATCTCAAACGCTGCTCAACATTCCCATGACAGCTGTACCAATCTCAAATAAAAAATAATTAATTATTAACTTAGTATAAAATACGTTATCACCGCCATAAAAGATATCATTAACTGATTTCCTGTTTTTATCGCTTTTAAACTCTCTACTCTCTTAATCTCTCTAACTTAATATCCGGTTTTTAAAAGTTACATTTGCTACGAACGTGAAAATTCAAGCGTTTATTCATTACCAAAAGAGCGAGGTTCTCACCTTCGGGTTGAACTTTGTACCTGAATTTACCTGAGAGCCGCCATCTTTCTAGTGGCCTCGACGAGGACAGGAAGCCGGCGTCTTATCAAAGAACTCCCCATTAGTGACACTTGGAACCAATAATTAATTATGTACAGAGCCAGAGGTGTGTGTAGGGAGAGTGTGGCCATGGCAAGCCTCTTACTTCTGACCACCTCACTGTAGCGACCAAGCCTCTTACTTCTGACCACCTCACTGTAGCGACCAAGCCTCTTACTTCTGACCACCTCACTGTAGCGACCAAGCCTCTGACTTCTGACCACCTCACTGTAGTGACCAAGCCTCTGACTTCTGACCACCTCACTGTAGCGACCAAGCCTCTTACTTCTGACCACCTCACTTTAGTGACCAAACCTCTTACTTCTGACAACCTCACTGTAGCGACCAAGCCTCTGACTTCTGACCACCTCACTGTAGCGACCAAGCCTCTTACTTCTGACCACCTCACTGTAGCGACCAAGCCTCTTACTTCTGACAACCTCACTGTAGCGACCAAGCCTCTTACTTCTGACCACCTCACTGTAGCGACCAAGCCTCTTACTTCTGAAGACCTCACTGTAGCGACCAAGCCTCTTACTTCTGACCACCTCACTGTAGTGACCAAGCCTCTTACTTCTGACCACCTCACTGTAGTGACCAAGCCTCTGACTTCTGACCACCTCACTGTAGCGACCAAGCCTCTTACTTCTGACCACCTCACTGTAGCGACCAAGCCTCTTACTTCTGACCACCTCATTGTAGTGACCAAGCCTCTTACTTCTGACCACCTCACTGTAGCGACCAAGCCTCTTACTTCTGACCACCTCACTGTAGCGACCAAGCCTCTTACTTCTGACCACCTCACTGTAGCGACCAAGCCTCTGACTTCTGACCACCTCACTATAGCGACCAAACTTCTGACTTCTGACCACCTCACTGTAGCGACCAAGCCTCTTACTTCTGACCACCTCACTGTAGCGACCAAGCCTCTGACTTCTGACCACCTCACTGTAGTGACCAAGCCTCTTACTTCTGACCACCTCACTGTAGCGACCAAGCCTCTTACTTCTGACCACCTCACTAGAGCGACCAAGCCTCTTACTTCTGACCACCTCACTGTAGCGACCAAGCCTCTTACTTCTGACCACCTCACTGTAGCGACCAAGCCTCTTACTTCTGACCACCTCACTGTAGCGACCAAACCTCTGACTTCTGACCACCTCACTGTAGCGACCAAACTTCTGACTTCTGACCACCTCACTGTAGCGACCAAACCACTGACTTCTGACCACCTCACTGTAGCGACCAAACCTCTGACTTCTGACCACCTCACTGTAGCGACCAAACTTCTGACTTCTGACCACCTCACTGTAGCGACCAAGCCTCTTACTTCTGACCACCTCACTGTAGTGACCAAACCTCTGACTTCTGACCACCTCACTGTAGCGACCAAGCCTCTGACTTCTGACCACCTCACTGTAGCGACCAAGCCTCTGACTACTGACCACCTCACTGTAGCAACCAAGCCTCTGACTTCTGACCACCTCACTGTAGCGACCAAACCTCTGACTTCTGACCACCTCACTATAGCGACCAAACCTCTGACTTCTGACCACCTCACTGTAGCGACCAAACTTCTGACTTCTGACCACCCCACTGTAGCGAACAAGCCTCTGAATTCTGACCACCCCACTGTAGCGACCAAGTGTAGACCACTGTTATCAGCACCAGGTGCTGAAAACATTACATATTCAATGATCGCACACGCAGGTCCTGCTGGAGAACAAGGAATATTTTGTACGTTATCAATGCCTCTTGGCAGCAAGGCAAACTACCGACCTCTTGGAGGAAACCCGATGTCATTTCGATTCCTAAGCCGAAAGAACCTGGCAATTACAGGCCCATTTCATTACCATCATGCATCAGTAAAACTGCAAAACGGATGGTCTTAAATAGGCTACTGTGGAAGACTGGAGACCTTCATAAACACATATTTGGCTTCACTAGAGGAGTAGGTACTGCCAACTGCTAAGCAACATTACTAGGAACAGTTATTTCAGGTCGGCTATAGTGATCTTCCTTGATCTAGAAATAACATTTTAACTTTCAAGCCCACAAGCAATTTTGCACACCTTAGTTAAAATATGTGTAAAGGGAAATATGCTAGCATGAATTCAAGATTACCTAAGTCACAGGTATGCCAGAGTAAAGCTGCAAGGACAAGTGTCGGACTACAACTTGCATATTATGGGACTCCACAAGGAGGAGACCTCAGTCCTAGTCTTTTTAACATCCTTATAGAAAACCTCATTACCAGGACATTTGCAGATGGTGTTTAATTTCTAAGCTATCCTGATGATATGGCATTAGTCATAACAGGTCCTTCACTTCTAAATAAAGCACAAGGGGTGTTAGATAAAGTAACATCTGAATGCAGCATTTTAGGGCTAAAAATATCTGCACAGACGTCTAAGGCAACGAGACTAGGTGGCAACACTCCAGACAGGCATCTAAGCATTCAAGACGTTAACCTTCAGTGGGTTACACAATATCAATATCTCGGAATGTGGATAGATTCTAAAATGACATTCAATAAGCAAATTCAATATCTGAAGGAGAAAGCAAAATCACAACTGAATATAATGAGAGCAATAAAATGCAAGAATGAGCATAATGAGAGCAAGTAAATGAATGTCTTACCAAGCAGCGTGGATTCTTCCTCGTCAGGCTGCGAAAAATTCGCAAACTGAACCCTGGTGTTATCAAGCAGTGGTACACTAGGAATGGAACGATCATTGTAAAGAAGGAAAGTGCAGGAAAAAGATATGAAATAAAGTGTGACCAACAACTACTGGCCTTCTCTAATGATTGTGGTATATCTGAAAACCAGAATCCGCCCAATGTCAATACTGAAAATTACTCTTGAGTGTCAGAGCCTAACATAACTTAATCTAATCTTGTCCAAGGTGCTGTCTCTGCCTTACCGTTTAACTAATGTTCTCTCATCCATAAAAGTTCCTAAGTAACCAGTTAAGTCTCCATAAATTTTACTCATATATATAATCGTACCCTGTTCTTTATAAATTTTAAACTGAATTGTTATTTGATTTATATGTCATTTATTGAAATTAATTAATGAGCTCACTTTGTTTTCTTAATGTTCATACTAATTATAGGTTCATAACTAAGCTATATAAAATTAATTATCTTTAAGATTATTTTACTTTACGATTATTATTTGTCTTATTATTTTTGTTATATATTAATCTTGTCAGTCTACTGATTTTTTGTTTTCTCTCTTTACCTAACTTTGGTATCCTTCCTGGCTATTTACGGTGATCTTTACTCTACTTCTAATTGTTTTTAATTTTTGTGTACTTGCATTTATTGTTGTGTTTTGCTATAATTACTTTCTATCTACATCAGATTTAATATTTAACTGTTCCTGTAATTTGCTTGTCTTATTGTATCATGATATTATTGCATCTACATGCATACTGATATTGATCCTGGTCGAAATCTTCTGTCTCATATCTACACCAATCAGTACATTGGTCATCATTATTGCAGGTATTACACAGCAAATCTTGCAAAAAACAAACTACCAAATAGCACCTGCTTATCAGTTTACAACCAAAATGGTAGATCACTTGGTAAACATTTTGATGATATAAATGCACTACTCACAGCACTAGGTACTAAATTATCATTCATCATTTTAACAGAAATTTGGCTAAGTAAAGACTATACCCAACTCTACAACTTAGCTGGTTATAAAGCCATTCACAACTGCAGGCCTAATAAAAAAGGAGGTGGCACAGCAATATATTACCAAGAAACCTTCATCTGCAATAGTGTCATTAGTGATCGAGACGACTATTGTGAATATACCTTTGTCAAGTTCTCCAGTAAATCCCTTAAATCCTCCTTGACTATCGGTGCCATCTATAGATTTCCCAATACCAATATAGCTTCATTCTCAGATAACTAAAGAATCTTATCATGAATAACAATCTCAACAAAAATCACATAATTCTAGGAGGTGATTTCAATATTGACCTGGGTCTACAAAATAACCCTCAAGTTGATTATTTCCGTAACAGCAAGAACTCCTGTATGCTAATCACCACAATCACCAAGCCCACCCGAGTCACTCAAACATCTGCCACTACCTTGGATCACTTATGGACTAATATAACAGCTCCCCTTGCATCTGGTATAATCTATGACAGAACAACTGACCACTATCCTACCTTCCTTATAGCAAACATGGACATAACACCACCAGAAAGCAAGAAACTCACATTCAGGGTACACAGTGAAGCGTCTATAGGCAACCTCTCAAATGCACTTCACAATATTAACTGGGAATCTGAATTCAATAATACACAGGATATAAACTCATTAGCTAACCATTTTCTCTCCAAAACTCTAAGCCTCTACAACACTCACTGTCCCCTCCTTACCAAACAAGTAACTGACAAAAGAATAAACAATCCGTGGCTCACAAGTGGCATTTTCAAATCAATCAACAAAAAAACATGAATATGAAAAGAAATTTAGGATTGGCCTAGTTACAAAGGAAGTAGTTAAAAGGTATTCATCAGTGCTTACCAGTATCATAAGAAAAGCTAAACTTTCATATTATCAGAATAGATTCAAAGAAGCAAAAGACAACATAAAAAAGCACATGGAAAACTATCTCTAATATCCTAGGAACTAAACAACACTTCCACAACCAGATAACACTCTCTAAGGATTGCTTTACACCGTCAACTGATTTAGAAATGGCAAATGAATTTAATAGCTTCTTTTCATCGGTTAGTGCTAACCTTGTCAGGAAAATCCCTCAGACTCAGACACATATCAACACATATCTCTCAGGCAGCTATCCAAACTCTCTTCTCCTTGCACCAGTCAGCCCGACAGATGTTGTGTCCATCATACACTCACTAAAACCAAAGCTGGGAACATCAGTGAAATCCCATCCATTGTATACAAGAGCGCCTCCCATGCCCTTGCGCCACCCATAGCTCTGCTGTTCAACAAATCCCTACTGTTATACCTTCCCTGATATCCTTAAAAAAGCAAGAGTAACGCCAGTTCATAAAGGAGGCAATCCGGCAGACATAAACAATTATAGACCAATATGAAACCTACTCATACTATCAAAAATATGTGAAAAAATGATCTACAAACAGCTCTACTCCTGCCTCGTAAAATTCGACATACTCAGCCCCTGTCAGTTTGGCTTCTGCTCCCAGAAGAGTATCAACGGTGCAATTATTAGTCTCCTTGATATAATTAACTCAGCACTTGACAAAAGTGAGTTTCCGATTGGACTCTTCATTGACCTGAGAAAGGCCTTTGATACTGTTAATCACAACTACCTCTTACGTAAACTCCATCATTATGGAATTCGAGGCCATGCCCTGGACTATATTCAATCCTATCTTAGTGATAGACACCAATGTGTAGCCATCAATGATATAACCTCTCCCACTCTACCAATAACCGTTGGAGTGCCACAGGGACTCCAATCTTGGGACCTCTCTTATTTCTTATATACATCAATGATCTGCCTAATGTCTCTAACATTCTTAAACCTATATTGTTTGCTGATGATACTACCCTCATCTACTCAAACCCCAACACACATACACTAAATAATGTTGTTAATTATGAACTAAAAAAATCCACTTATGGATGTCAGCCAACAAACTAACACTGAACATAAAAAAGACCTACTACATCTTATTTGGAAGCAAATCAACAAATGCAATACAGCTTCAGATCAAGCTGTCAATGCAATCAATCAGAGCTACCAATGCGCTTTAATATACCTACTAATCTCTCCTCATCTCCTTTTTCTTTTTTCTTGCAATGTTTCTGTTATCATTTTATTAATTCTGCTTGAATTTACCTGCAAAAATTATCTGTTAGATTTAGGACCTGCCCAAAACGCTGTGCGTACTAGTGGCTTTACAAGATTGTAAATACCATTCTATGTATCGTCACAAACCCAGTGTACCTTCTTGTATATAAATAAATATAATAAATAAATAAAATAAAACAAGCAATCACAGGGACCCGTCTAGGAGCGGAACACAAAATGTTAAGAATGTTTTACATACACGCCGTTCATTCCCTAGTTGATTATGCAGCTCCTGCCTTACTCACTCTTTCTCCTGGCCAGGGGACAGACGTTGTGGTTATTCAAAATGATGCAATGCGTGTCATAACGGGCTCCCAGATGGACTAAAATATTGAACCTAAGATTAGAAGCCAAGCTAACGTCGATTGAAATAAGGGTAAATGGGATTGCTGCGTGCATGCTGACCAAGATATTGACTAGACCTAGAATCAGTTCACTTAAAGGTAAAACCACTGGAGCACTAACTCGGGACAGAAGAACCTCCAATAGGAACAGGTGGACCCATTGTGCAATAAACACCATCAATACATTAGATATAACAAAAACAGTCACTGAGACGGGTGTCAACGAAATACATGCAGACTTTGTTAGGCAAACCCCACTTGGGAATCGCTGCCAGCAGATTTTAAGATTATGGTTCTTGATGGAAAAAAGAACCAGACAAGTCCTCGTCTGCTACGTAATATTGCATAGATGCATATAGAAGCAAACTTGGCATCTGACAGCTTCACATACTTTATAGATGGATCAGTAGACCAGCAGGGACAAGAAAGCAGAGCAGAAGTTACGGCAGGAAATTCTGTAAATAATTGGAGACTCTCAAACGGGTGTTCGACTTTACACACAGAGTTGCTAGCCATTCAAAAGGTTTTGGAATATGCTCTTGCCGAACACCAACAACATGTTATCATACTACAGATTCCAGAACTGCCATTGAAATCTTGCAACAAGAACACATACGTGACAACATCCATCTGATCACAGATGTCATATCATTAATGCAAATGCTCAAATGTCAAGGCCGTCGGGTACTTATCAACTGGGTGGCAAGTCATGTGAGAATAATAGGAAATGACATTGCAGATGAAGCTGCAAATCTTGCAACTAAGAGAAGAAATGAAGACATTTACATACCACAGAGTCTATCACTGATTAAGAAAGTAATTAGAAATAGAGTAATGCAAAAGATGTAATACGACCACAACACAACAGTTCCAACATCAGGATCTGTGGGTTGGTACAAGAATTCAACCAACTACGAACGACTTAGTCTGATGAAAGGGAGCAGTAGAACAACAGACGTACACTTACATTATATCAGGCATGGATACCCATGTGCATGGGGAATAGGCTTACAGGGTCCAGAAGATGACAGGAAATATCAGCACTGTGGAGATATGCCCGACAGACCACCGAAACATTATTTGACACAGTGCGCAGTTACAAACTCAATAAGATTTCAACTTAGATTCAACTGAGCAGAAGAAGTTGTTAAACACATGGGGCAAAATCTTTCTGAAGCGACCATAAGAGTCATAAATACTCATACTCCGCCTAAGTAAAACAGAAACAAGTAACACTTAGCGGGTCTGTCAAAGGATTAGGGCCTGCGCAAGAATATCCCACCAAAAAATATATATATATTATTGTAAATCACTATTTAAAGGCAGGCTCGGAGACCTAAACGTTTTACAAGAGGAGGTGAATGTTTGCCTTTACAAAGGCTGTGTTAGAAAGAATTATGTTAAAGTTCCAGATTTTTTAAAAGATGATTTTAATGGACTAAGAAATTTCATGGTTGGAGGAGATTGGGCAGACCTGGGCATGGGGAGGGGGGGGGGCGGTTCTGGAGTGAGACGTGAACCAAGAGATGTGTGATGTAAGAAGGTATTTCAATGTGGATTCAAATTATAACATATTTTAAAATATTCTAAGCAAAATACAGTGTGACGATAATCTCTTTCAAGAGAGATTGAGCCTGCTCTTCCCTATATCATTCACGTCATTTTACAAGTACAAGATACTATATTGAAGATACGTCCACCAGTATCACAAAACATTTTGCCCAGGAAGCAAAGCGTACCTTGCACCACCCGACATGCCGGCTCCGCCCGTCGTCAACGAGCAAACTACCCATTCTCCGCCTGCCTGCTCCTGATTGGCTGGTGTATCGCCGACAACACCTGCACCTGCACTCACGCCCTCTACCTGAGTCGACGTCTGGGCCAGCTCACGCCGTACTCCTCAGAATATCTTTGTGCTCTTAGGAGTTGACATCTCTCTCTGGTAGACTAAGCCCTGGCTGTCGTGTACTATGGGAGGTGGCAGCTTTAGCCAATATTCTCGGCACCTGATTATCATTATTATTGTCTTGCACTTCATTTTATTTTAGAGTAAATTTCACATTCATTAATTATTCATGTTGTTTTGTTTGTTGACTTGTTTTGAATTTTACGTAAGCCAAGGGATTGTCTTTGTTCATGTCTTGTTTTCTAAAGTAATTAAAATTTCATTGTTTATATTTAGTGTTTTGCGTGTCTTCCCATTACCTTACCACAGACAAACAGGCAAGCAGTCTCTTTTTTTTTCTGTTAGTGTGACAAGGCATTGCCACCTGCCATTGGAGGACTGCCGAACATCAACACTCCAACACTTTACCGTCACAACAGAAACGTAGTGTACCATACTAAATGAATAGATCGAATAATAATGACCCGATAAGGATACCAATGAATCTGACGAACCTTAAATATAAAAATAAAGCTTGGTACAAAAGAATTAATAATGGGTTCTCCATTTCCTACAAAAGCGTGTTCACTTCTTGTAGCTGCCTCATTAATTCCTGTACCAGACTTTTAATTTCATTTACCTGCCTTTTGCCTTCCTGAAGCAGGTTCTTCACTTCTGGTAGCAAGTTATTCACATTCTATAGCAGGTTTTAAACTTCCTGTAGCAAACTCTTCCCTTCCTGTAGCAGGCACTTCATTTCATTTAGCAGACACTTCACTTTCTGTAGCAGACTCTTCATTTCTGGTAACAGACTCTTCACTTCCTGTAGCAGACTGACTCTTCACTTCCTATAGCAGCATCTTCACTAACTGCAGGAGTTTCGTCACTTAGCAACAAAACCCTTTTGGTTTCCATAGTCTCAAGTCACTTATGATTTCCAATTTGATGTTACCAGTTTCCTGCGCCTGCTGTATTAGATACTGTTTCTCCCACAGACGTCTCAGTGCTGGTGGGATGTCTAGTGTGGTACTGGTGACAGGACTGTCGTTTAACCAGGACCAGCTGAACCAGGACCAGCTGAACCAGGACCAGCTGAACCAGGACCAGGACCTACAGAACCATCTGAAGCAGGGGCTTTGGGGAGACGCCAGAACCACCTGTCGAGGACTCATTCTTGACCTCACAGTATCCAGTAATACGACCGTTTTACTTCGGTAAATACTATAAAATTGTTCAGAAATTCAAAGCGAAAATACTAGATGTTTTAATTTCTTCGGGAGAGCTACATCCAAAATATTATATTTACTTTTAATGGAATATCAGTATTAGGGCACTAGAGGACAATCTTTCGTATCATAGAGCAGTGAGCTTCCAAGTGTTGCTGTCACTGGTCAGAAACATATTTGTTCTGTCACTGGTCAGAAACATAATTGTTCTGTCACTGGTCAGAAACATAATTGTTCTGTCACTGGTCAGAAAAAAATATTCTGTGATAGATCAGAAAAAAATATTCTCTTACTGTTCTGAAACAAAATGTTTTGTCACTGTTCAGAAACAAAATATTATGTCTCTGGTCAGAAGCACAATATTATGTAACTGGTCAGAAAAAAAATTCTTTATCAGGTCAGATACAAAATATTCTACCACTGGACAGAAACAAAATATTCTGTGTCTGGCAGAAACAGAATATTCTGTCTCTGGCAGAAACAAAATATTTTGTAACTGGTGTTAAGTATACAGTCTAAATACAGTCCTCACCCGACCATTAAAAGTCATACACCATGTAAATAGCCAAGAAAGTGACTAGTTTCGTTCCATAACATATAGAGGGTGGCGAGATGCCAAAGATCTGAATTATTTGTTGTTAAATTCGTTGTGAAGGTGACAGTGAGCACTGCAGCAAATATGGCGGGGTTCAGATCAGGGAGGAGGTGACAATATGGTGGGGCTCAGATCAGGGAGGAGGTGACAATATGGTTGGGCTCAGATCAGGGAGGAGGTGACAATATGGTGGGGCTCAGATCAGGGAGGAGGTGACAATATGGCGGGGTTCAGATCAGGGAGGAGGTGACAATATGGTGGGGCTCAGATCAGGGAGGAGGTGACAATATGGCGGGGCTCAGATCAGGGAGGAGGTGACAATATGGCGGGGTTCAGATCAGGGAGGAGGTGACAATATGGCGGGGTTCAGATCAGGGAGGAGGTGACAATATGGCGGGGTTCAGATCGGGGAGGAGGTGACAATATGGTGGGGCTCAGATCAGAGAAGAGGTGACAATATGGCGGGGTTCAGATCAGGGAGGAGGTGACAATATGGCGGGGTTCAGATCGGGGAGGAGGTGACAATATGGTGGGGCTCAGATCAGAGAAGAGGTGACAATATGGCGGGGTTCAGATCAGGGAGGAGGTGACAATATGGCGGGGTTCAGATCAGGGAGGAGGTGACAATATGGCGGGGTTCAGATCAGGGAGGAGGTGACAATATGGCGGGGTTCAGATCAGGGAGGAGGTGACAATATGGCGGGGCTCAGATCAAGGAGGAAGTGACAAATATGGCGGGACTCAGATCAGGGAGGAGGTGAGAAATTCCTGCCAATACTCCAGAAGCGTTGATGAGGTGTCTTCTGATTGTGTTAAAACTGATTAGTCGGATGCGGAGTGTCCAATTTGACCAATCAGAGAGCGTGGTGTGACGTAGTGAGACATCGGCAGTCGATGTCACTAGCCACCTCGGGATGAACGTGATAGGTCATCCGATGTCACTAGCCACCTCGGGATGAACGTGATAGGTCGCCCGTTGTCACTAGTCACCTCGCGATGAACGTGATAGGTCGCCCGCTGTCACTAGTCACCTTGGGATGACCGTGATAGGTCGCCCGTTGTCACTAGTCACCTCGCGATGAACGTGATAGGTCGCCCGCTGTCACTAACCACCACGGGATGAACGTGATATGTCGCCGCTCTCACTAGTCACCTCGGGATGAACGTGATAGGTCGCCTCGCTTGCCAGTCCTTCATCTTGAGGTTATCTTGAGATGATTTCGGGGCTTAGAGTCCTCGCGGCCCGGTCCTCGACCAGGCCTCCTTTTTGGAACACAACCCTCCCCCCCCCAGGAAGCAGCCCATAGCAGCTGTCTAACTCCCAGGTACCTATGTACTGCTAGGTAACAGCGGCATCAGGGTGTAAGAAACTCATTGAAAACTTCCCATTTGCTTCCGCCTCCACCTGAGATCTAACCCGGAACCTCAGGACTACGAATCCGAAGTGCTGTCTACTCAGCTGTCAGGCCCCTTAGGTGAGGTTTAAGACAAGAAAAAGAACATTACTTTACTCAGTACTCGAGAGGCAATGTGGAGGAGCTGCTTGTCAACTTCAACAACTTCAACTTTTGGCGACAAAGGTCGCAAAAAGCTAACGTCGGTACTCCTGTGTGGCCCAGTAGATGGTGCTGAGAGATCGAGAGTCGATCCGCGGACCGCACCAAGTAAGACCTGTGAGAAGCGTGCAGGTGGCAAGTCCTGGTGTTAGAGTCTCAGCAGCATAGCAGTCCTGGAAAGAGCAACTACTGAGCTACAGCTCTTCTACAGAGAAGAAGGGGACCAGTATTCCTGCATGGAAGACGGATTAGTTGAAGGTCTGGGAGACCTTAACCTAATCCTAGCGAGATCGTCTCAGATAAGTCGTCAGTAGTTAGTCAACCAGTTGCTATAAGAGAACTACCGTGGTTTTGCTAAACAGGAGAAGAGGAACTTTGCAGGTAACACACAAGTCGCCAGTGGAGCATCTACCAACTTCAACAGGCTATTACGACAGCAGCCTTTGCTCTTTAATAGTAAGGTAGACTAAATTTCTTTGCCAATTCCCCCCAAGTTTGATAGGACGTGAATACAATTTATCCTATGTTTGAGGAATGATTTATTGCGTCGGTGTCCGCGGATACATAGGTTGGAGACTCGGGAGTGTTATAATTTGCTACAGCGTTGCTAGGCCTAGTGTTGGACACTTTCCTGGTGAGTGACTGAGGTGCTTCCCATAAGTGGACAGTGACACTGGTGAGAGGGGGGAGAAAGACCTGGGGAGTGCCACATTGGTCAGAAACAAAATATTCTCTCACTGATTAGACCAAAATATTCTGTCTGGTCAGAAACAAAATATTTTGTCACTGTGTCCAAATCTAAACATTCTGCCTCCAGTCAGAAACAAGATACTCTACTCCAGAGAGAAACAAGATGCTCTACCACCAGTCAGCAACACGAAGCTCTGCCACCAGTCCGAAACACAAAGCTCTGCCACCAGAAACAAGAGACTCTGCCGTGCTAGTGGAGCGCTGGAAGACTTCACCGCTGAAGGGTGCTAGTGGAGTGCTGGAACACATCACCGCTGGAGCGTGCTAGTGGAGCGCTGGAAGACTTCACAGCTGGAGCGTCCTAGTGGAGTGTTGGAAGACTTCACAGCTGGAGCGTGTTAGTGGAGCGTTGGAAGCCTTCACAGCTGGAGCGTGCTAGTGGAGCGCTGGAAGATTTCACAGCTGGAGCATGTTAGTGGAGCGCTGGAAGACTTCACAGCTGGAGCGTGCTAGTGGAGCGCTGGAAGACTTCACAGCTGGAGTGTGCTAGTTGAGCGCTGAAAGACTTCACAGCTGGAGCGTGCTAGTGGAGCGCTGGAAGACTTCACAGCTGGAGTGTGCTAGTTGAGCGCTGAAAGACTTCACCGCTGGAGCGTGCTAGTGGAGCGCTGGAAGACTTCACCACTGGAGCGTGCTAGTTGAGCGCTGAAAGACTTCACAGCTGGAGCGTGCTAGTGGAGCGCTGGAATACTTCACCACTGGAGCGTGCTAGTGAGGGGGTAGTGGGGTGATGAAGACGTACGCCGTACGGTGATGAAGCGTAGAGATAGGAACGGGAACGCCACAGAACTTGGCGCAGTATGCCCAGGAATCTTAGAGTGGAGTAGGAATCCCTTCACCAGCAAGCCAGCATCCCCAGTGACGAATATAACAGAAACATCCGACAAACCCACCTCTCGATCATTCCCCCCTCCCAACCAGGCGAGACCCATCCCCATACAAAGCGCCCCCCATGCTCCTCGACCCCAGGCCCCCCATGCCCTCCTTCCCCATCCCCTCCCCCCCCCGTCCCCAGGCCCTCCCTGTTCTCGCACCCCATGCCCTCCCCAGTATCCCCACCCCAAGCTCTCCCTCTTACCACATCCCCCCCTTCCTTTCTGCCGCCCCACCATAGGCTCCCCTTCCCTCCCTTACCCAACCCCAAGCTCTCTCTCCTACCACACCCCTCCTAATCCCTGCCATCTCACCCCAGGCTTCCCTTTATCCTTCAACCAATGACCTCCCACCTACCCCCCCCCACCCTCTCACATGCCCCTACTCCTCCCCCATCCCAAGCCCAAATTGACCCCCAACCTCAAACCCCTTCTGCTTCAACACCCGAGATCCTCCTAGCTTCCCCATACAGGATCTTCCCAGCCATCTCTAACCCAAGATCCCCAAGGTACACCTTCCTTGGCCCTCCCACCCTGGACACCGCTTGCCCCCCCCCCCCTCCCATCCCCATTTCAGTGGACCCAACAGAATCTAAGGATGGAAGGAAGAGTCAATTTCAAAATAATGTTCTCGAACATAGATGGGATTACAAGCAAGACAAGTGAACATAAAGAAAGAGCACAAGAAGGGGATCCGGATGTAATTGGACTCACAGAAACAAAACTCTCAAGAATTATAACGGATGTGGTGTTTCCCCAGGAATACATTGCAATAAGGAGAGAGAGGGAAGGAAGGGGGGAGGAGGTAGAGTGGCCTTACTGATAAGAAAGAAGTGGAGTTTCAAGGAGATGGTTATCCCCATCTGTGAAGTGTCTAAAGACTACATAGCAGGTACCATGACGATAGGAGGTCCAAGAATAGTGGTATCAGTGATATATAACCCTCCACCAACCGACAGAAGACCCAGGCAAGAGTATGACAGAAACAACATTGCAGTTAACACTATTATTGAGAGAGTAGCCACAGCTGCCTATAGAAATAGATCTCATCTGCTCATGATGGGGGATTTCAATCACGGAAGGATAGACTAGGAAAACAAGGAACCGCATGGAGGTGAGGAAACATGAAGAACTAAACTGTTCGAGGTGGAGACAAGAAACTTTTTAAGTCATCATGTTAGAAGATCCACAAGAATGGGAGGCAATGAGGAACCATCGA